ACGTAAGTTAAGAAGGTCCAGCCGAGGACTGTGATTGGTGATTGCGCCATTTCTGTGGAGACTTCATGGGAAGGTCCAGCCGAAAGTCAGTCTCCTGCAACCATAGGAGCCATTTTTGTTGGACGATTTGTGAAGAAAAGTGGCTCCTAAATTGGAGAAACGTCGGAACAAGGTGCAGCTGGTTGTGGAGAATATTGCTCGTTTACGTTCTGCATATAAAGACTTTCACCCGCCAGCATACACAGCGCGATACTTCCGTGGAGGCTTATCTCGCCACCCGGATTCAACAGCCTCGGCCGAAAAGCGGTAGCCGTTCTAGACTTTCGAATCATGGCGTCTGCACGTAAAACTACCAAAGTCATCATTGTTGGTGGAGGTGGCACCCTCGGCTCGTCCACCGCCCTTCATCTAATACGTCGCGGATATACGCCATCCAATATTACAATTCTCGACACCTATCCTATCCCGTCATCCCAATCTGCTGGCCATGACTTGAACAAGATTATGAGCATAAGATTGCGCACAAAGGCCGATTTGCAACTATCACTCGAAGCACTGGACATGTGGAAGCATGATCCACTCTTCAAGCCCTTCTTTCATAATGTTGGCATGGTAAGCTATGTCTCCTTTCGGGGGCGTTCATCGTCGCGAATATCTTTACACTGATACTTGATTTAGTTTGATTGTTCGTCGGAGGCCGAGAACATCACAGAACTCAGAGAATACTACCAAGCGCTTATTGATGTCAATGCTGGCTTGGACAAGACCAATTTTTGGTTAGACAGTGAGGATGAGATTTTGTCAAAATTGTCCTGCTTTACAAAGGAGCAAGTCAAGGTAAGGACAAGCGATATCTGTCAGATACATGAATGTAAACTGAGAATGGTCATCGCATAGGGATGGAAAGGATTGTTCACCCTTGACGGCGGCTGGCTTGCAGCATCAAAAGCTATCAACGCGATTGGTCTCTTTGCCAAAAGCCAAGGCGTTCAATTTGAATTCGGCGAGTTCGTTTCATCTACTCTCACAAACATCTTTGCCCCCTTTACTGACGCGCCTATAGAGCTGGCACGTTCAAGAGGCCTTTGTTCGCCGACGATGAAGTCACCTGCCACGGTGTTGAAACTATTAACGGCTCCAAATATTTCGCGGACAAGGTGATTATGGCTGCCGGGGCGTGGACACCGACTTTGATTGATCTTGAGGGCCAATGCGTTTCCAAAGTGAGTCTCATCTAGTCTACTCTTTGTTTGTTACTGACAAGAGGCTTCATTTAGGCCTGGGTCTTGGCTCATATACAGTTGACCCCGGAGGAGGCTGCTGCGTACAAGAATATTCCTGTGGTATACGATGGTTCTTATGGTTTCTTCTTTGAGCCAAATGAGTAAGTATCACGGTCAAAGTCGGTCCAGATCAGAAGGCTGATGCTAGATATGTTCCTCGCAGAGACGGAATTATCAAAGTTTGCGACGAATTCCCTGGATTTACACGTTTCAAGACACATCAGCCATATGGCGCAGGAGAACCAAAATGCATATCGGTACCCCGATCCCATGCCAGCCACCCGACGGACACCTACCCAGACGCCTCCGAAGTCAGCATCCGTAAGGCCGTCGCAAGATTTCTGCCAGGACTCAAAGATAGGCCATTTGTCAATCGCGCAATGTGCTGGTGCACAGACACGGCTGATTCAAATCTTTTGATTTGCGAGCATCCAAAGTGGAAGAATTTGATTCTGGCTACGGGAGATAGTGGGTATGTTTGCCCTTGAGGTCGTGGTCTTGCCCGAGAAATAAACTGACATATCACTTGTCGCTCTAGTCACTCGTTCAAAATGCTACCGAACATTGGAAAGCACATTGTCGAATTGATGGAAGGGACTCTTCAACAGGATCTGCTGAATTATTGGAAATGGAGACCCGGAGGTGATGCGCTCAAATCCACAAGAGCGGCTCCAGCAGAAGACCTAGCAGATATGCCAGGTTGGAAACATGATGCTCGACTGTAGCGTTGTGATGGCTCTCCTAACAGGCTATAAGAATGGTGTAATTGGATTGTATTAATTGAAGTGAAGTTATCTCCGTTTTTGAGACAAGTGGAGAGAAGAATCTAGCTCGGCGCGGATAAAGATATTTCCGATCCGGCTGTGGGGCATCACGCCTGGAAGATTGAGATTACGTAACAGGTTTACTCCAGGTTTGAATCCCGACAAGGGGCAAAATGCGAATACGCCGCCTTTACGCGCTACCTACCCTATTCTGTGTGGGATAACCTCAATACTTCAACAACATAAATTAATTTGCACCCTAAAAGTTTCTTCCTATCTATCAATCGGGTTTGATCAGTTTGAACTTTGAAACTGTTCGGATTAGTACCGGAGATTCCGATATGTTTTTGTACGATTGCTTCTACGCTTTCTATTACCAAACTAGCCTGATCAGCAGCGCGGAGATGGACTTAAATGGTTAGCCCCTCCGCAATCAGAGCGGAGAACATCTTTCTTATCAAGGAAGCAATCACGTGCTTTGATACTCATCAATTAACGTAGCCCATTGACCTCCATGGCGAGTCACGATTCATACATCCCTGAGTAATTTTAGCCATTTCGCCTCTGGAAACCTACCTCTAATAATAGTAAACCCTAGTTATCATATTGAGAATGCCACGACGTAAGGCGGCCGACAGGATTGGCTTCATTCAGCGGCGGACACGCTCGGGCTGCAGGTACGTTCCCAAAGCTATCAAACCCGAGGTTGACCGGTTTGGTTTACATCTGTCCTTATTCCGTAGTACGTGCCGAGCACGCAGAGTCAAGTGCGACGAAGCCCGACCGCAATGCGGCAAATGCAAGGCTCGCGGCGACTGCTGTGAATATGAGCCAATACAACTGAAATGGGAATCTGAATACTCATCATCAGGACGAGCCTTCGGCAGACTGGGAGTGTGGAGCAAAGAGAGATCCCGCCCTTCATCGACCGGAATAAGGCAACTTGACTGTTCAACACCATTCAGAACCTCGCGGAAGCCTCGCCTGGTTGTCGATCATCACTTTATCAACCTCTATGCTTCTGATATGGATTCTGGCCTACCGCCCCCTAACCTCCAAATGAAAGAAGAACATGCAATTGTTTTCGCGACAGCGTCACAAATGCCCACTAGCTCTTCAATTGTGGCGACCTCTCCGTCTTTATCCTGCATTTCTATTTCTGAAATGGGCACCATCGCTCGTCCGGTATCGTGTTTTCCAAGTTTTGAAGGCTCTGAACTCGAACTACTCGATTATTACCTATACCGAATATGCCCCCTAACCTACACTTCCCAGCATTATACCTCTCCGTTTGCTGAACTTATCATGCCTCTTCTCAGCTCCGGGGGCCATGATATGGCATCTCTCGCAGCCATGGCGTTTTCAGCACGCCACGGAAGCCTCAGTCGCCCTGAGTGGTCCTCAAAAGCCTTGGCCTTACGCGGGAAAACCTTGGCCGCGGTGCGAGAAAGCCTGGGTGTTCCGGAAGATATGATGGGCTACGCTCTTCGGAATTCAAGAATCCCTCTAGCTATGATGTTTCTCTGCATGTATGAAATCTTTGACAGTTGCGATCATCGGTGGGTCATCCATCTCAGAGCTTGCCAGGACTTTCTCCATCGGAGAAAGCTTCTCCTCACCTCTTCCATCAACGAAACTGACGAAGAGCGGAACCATGTTTCTCTGGTTGGACGGTTCTTTGCCTTTCAAGACGCCATTAGCCGCACCGCCTGTGGAAACCCGTCAGTATTCAGCTGGGAGTACTGGCAACAGGCTGATCTTGACGGGACCGATCATCTGTTTGGGCGCAGCACAAATTCGGCTGCCATTCTGTTCAAAACTACTGAACTTGGCCGAACTAAAGACTCTTTATCTCTGGAAGATTTCGAAACACGCTTGTTTATTTTGGACCATGAAATCGCATCTCTTGATGCCGTCGACGCTGAAGATTATTTAGCCAAAGAGTCGACAAAGCTGTACCAAAACTGCCTACTCCGCAATGCCACGCCCTCCACACCCATCGTGCAAGAGCTTGTCGACAAATTATTGAAACAACTCTACACTCTTGTGCAGGAAACTCGCTGCATATCGAGCAGTCTCGCTTTCCCTCTCTTCATCAGTGCAGTTGAGCTCGACCCTCTCAATGACGAGGCATTTCTCATAGACAAGAACACGGGGGAACCCAAATCAGGCCGCTCTGTTGTGCTGGATATTCTGAAAGCGATGTCGGGGTCTTGTCTTTTCAATGTTGGGCGACTTGGCGATGTGATACGCCAGGTTTGGGTGAATCGGGACTTACATTTGGAGACTGGCGCAACTTCGGCGACTGGATCTGCTCTTGGGTCGAATGATTGGACAGTGTGTGTGAGCCCTTATTGTACAAATCTTAGTCTTGCATGACCATCTAGGGCCTGAAGAGACTGGAGCCTTGTTTCGCAATTATTCGAAAATCAGCTTGAAGTGGCCTGTAATCTTTTATGAACCTTGTACTATGAATGATCTTTTATTTAATAAGCGAATCTGCCCTGAATCTTACTATAATCAATAGCTTTATAATTAATATAAGCGTGCATATTCTCAATCACTCATCAATTGCTTCTTCACTCTTGTCCATCACTTCCCTCAAGTATAATCAACGGACTAATGGGGATACTTTGCATGAATCGTCCCAGTCCAAGAAATGAAGTCGATCAAATGAATCTCAGATCTGTGCAAAACCATTTGATGGGCTAGTTTTTAACAGGCTTATGAGGCAGTACAGTTAAAAAAAATGTCTTCGATCAATCTGAATGCCACCCAAACCTGAGGCATCTCTCTCCGCCGAGCCTCAACAGATCGCGCAAGTAATGTTGCTCTAGAGAGCCTTATGCTGGTGTTATATTGAGACAGAAGAAAAAGGAAATGCCTAAATTCTCAGAATGGCCTGCCTATAAAACCCTCGTCGAATCATTTGTCCCAGCAAAGCCAAGGTATCTCAGAGCTTTAGGGACTCCGCATCACTTGTTTCCCATGGATGCTCTCTCTCCACAGCTATAATGAGCTCCGCATACTTTTCTGTTCTTGGCTCAATTCTATATGGGAAGGGCTTCGGATGGCAAATCAGCCCAGCGGTCGGCTGGAGTGCCGCATCCACCTCTTTACCATCTTCATCAATAGCTTTGCTTATATGGAAAGCGGCCAGAATCCGCGACACTGTGATGAAGAGGCTCTCCATCGCAAGAAATCTTCCAGGACATATTCTTCGGCCATAGCCAAATGATTCTGTTGTAGGGTCTGGCTCATTTCTTGGTTCCAAATATCTGTCAGGGTCGAAATCGCTTGGGTTTGCGTACGTTTCGGGGTCATGCAAAAACCACCAGATTGACGGGAGCAAATATGTTCCTTTTGGGATTCTGAATCCATTGTACAGTATTTCATCGTCCGTCACATGGGGTGTACCAATTGGCGTAACCGGAAGCCAGCGGAGTGTCTCGCTCACCAATGCGTTGACGTATGGCAGTTGATGTCGGTCAGAAAAGTCCGGCAGCCTTCCATTGCCAATTACCATGTCGATTTCTTGCTGAGCTTTTTGTTGGACATCTGGAAACAGTATAATGGCAAGAACAAAGCTGCTTAATGTCGAGACAGTTGTATCCGCTCCGCCGCCGTACAGAAGCGCCGCCGTCTGCTTGATAGCGTCTTCCTCCTCAAGCGTTAATTCTAGCTCGCCATGCTTGTTGATCCCGTGTTTCTCAATCAGTTGCGAAACGTAGGATATCCGGTGCGTTCCAGCCGTGAGTTGTCTCCGCACGAATTCAAAAGGTGTATCTGTCACCGCTTGGTTTACTTGATTCCACTCTCGAGCTTGAGTTTTGAAGGAGGCGCCTGGGAATCCCTCTGGTAGGCGGTTCATGATTGGGAAAATATCTACTATCCAAGACAAGGGCACAAGCGCAAGCGACATATTGTCCATCATACGCTCAATCAAGGAGACCAACGGATCGTGGGTTCGTGGTTCAATAGCATAGCCATACGTGATTTTCAAGACTATGGCACTAGCTTCACTAAATAAACGGATGGGTCAGTTCTAGCCCATGGGCGTTTTCTTTCGAAGGACTCAATCTTTGGACGCAAGCATGACTTACGTCTTGAAGTGCTTTAGTAAATCCTCTGGGTTTTTTAGAACCCTCAGAAGGAAGCGTCGCGACTCCACATCTTGAACATCATTGAATCGGGCTGCCATGACTTTGGTACCAATTTGCTGGTGGACTAGCTTCCGGTGCCATCGATATGTTTCGTTGTACTGCCGAAAGGGCAAGAAAGCCCCAAAGCCACATTCATTGGCAAAGATCGAGGAAGGTCTGAGGGATGTCTTGAGAGATGTCTGCTCTAATAGATCACGCACTGCCTTCTTATCGTGCAAGAGAATCATCGGCTGGCCCAAAATGGACACTGAGCTGATTGGACCGTACATATCTTTGAACTTGATCCAATGCTGGTACTCGGGTACGCCTGGGGCAGGAAGGTCTCTTATATTTCCAACCAGAGGAAGGGGCCTTGGCCCTGGTGGGAGGCCACTGGTAGCATTTCTTCGAAAGAATTGGGCGTAAATTGCTAAGCCGAGGACAACAAGCCCAATAAGCAACGGAGTAAGATTTTCCATCAGACTCAAATGGTGAATATAGATAGATACATATAATGAAAAAAATATAATGCGAATGTAGAGAGCAAATGATCGATAATAAAGCACGAGAAGAATGGGATGCTTCGTAATTTTTTTTTTAGATATAGGTGCGGTCATGACATATCTCGCTTATATACATCCTATTGAAATTGAGCACCGGCAGATCAGCTACCTTTCTTGTTGCATTGCCTTCTTGGCTGTTTAGGGTGAAATGATTGATCGCATGTGAGAAATTTGTAATATCTCTGTAATAGAGGTCGCATGGAATGAGTGCGGGGCGTGGCGATAAGATGCGGAAGACTGAACGAATAACAAGAAGCGGGCAATGTCTCGGATGTCTGCATTTTTGACACCCTCACAACTAACTAAATCAAGGAACGGTCCAAGACTCCCATTGTCGCCGTTGCCACCGGTGTGAGAACTAGAAGCGAATACCGCACTGCAACCCAACACGTACCGTGTTTTGCCACGGAACCGGCTTTCGGCATGAGCAAATTGAGACATACTTCTGCAACCGTATCTTAACTCAGAAGTGATCTCCATATAATGTAACGCATAAAGCTCTGGCATTAATACGATATCATATGTAATTATAGGGCGCACTCAAGGTTAACGAAGAGAGAACCAAGAATATTTCAGTATCTTCCTCGTCACTGTATTGATCTGGTAGTATAGGAGGTAAATATATATATTTTTACCCCTGGGTAGGTCTCTCCGACGATGGGTCTTGAACAGCCGAACATTCATGCAAACCTAAGCTGTTATTAGGGAGGGATAATTTTCGAGACGGAGACGGTTGTCTAGAGCCGTCACTAATCCAAATATGAAATCAGTGTGAGAAGCACGATATTCTATTCAATGACGCCGCAAATATTCTAGTTCTAAACGTTCAAATCTACAGCATAGCTAACACGAGACTTGCCCTTGCTCCTAGAAATTTTCTTCACCTTGGCCTCCCCGCACAAATCAGTAGTGTCAACATGTGTTCCCCCGCATGGGTAAAGCTCGCCGCCAGTAATTTTGACGATCCGGAACTTCTCTCCTGGTGCCGCGAGGCCCGGATCAGGGATCAACCTCTCCAGGCCATGCTTACGGAAATCGTCCTCGTCCCAAAAATCTACTTCGACTGGCAATTTGGCCGCCACGAACTCGTCGACTTTCTTCTGTATGGGTTCCTTCCACTTGCCTTCGATGAGGCCCTGGAACTCGCAGGAAGCGGAATCCGGGAAGTGGGATGCCTTGAGCTCATCAAAGCCTTCAATTTCTTTCTCCAGAAGGTGCCTGACTGCAGATCCTAGAACATGGCCTGCAGTGTGGAGGCGAGAGTAGTATAGTCGTTTCTCGACGTCGATTTCCTGGGTGACCTTATCGCCGGGTTTGAAGATACTGCCCAGGTCGCTTGAGGCGGTATCAGAAGATTCAAGACGACCAAAATGCAAGACCTGTCCGTCACGGACGGCATCCATCCTTGCCGATAGCACATTGAAGGTTCTCTGCGACGATTGCCCTTTCATTGCGCCGACGTCGGATGGCTGGCCCCCACCTTGCGGATGGAAGATGGTCTGGTCGGTGATAATAGCAAAATCGCCGTCACGGCCCTCCTTGAAGAGTTGCCGGTTGTCCTCTTCTAATCCGCTCCATGGATGGACTGAAACTACGGTCGCGGGGGCAGAAAATAATTTCGCGTTGCGCTGGAACGAAAGTATTGTTCGTTTAGCGGCCATTTTGTTTGTGAATTTAGATGAAGGTTCAAGTTTCAATTCCGAACAAACTGTTAATTAGTGGCTCATCATGCTAGGGTTACTGTTGTATTTAGTGAGATTATCACTTTAAAGAGGTGTGTTATTAATCTGACACTGCCATGTTTTTGAAGCTCAATTACTAATAAGACCAAACCACGGACTAACAAACTGACAATGCGAAGGCGACTTATAGAGTGAGCAGCAGCACAGCCAACTAAATTTGTTTCCAGATTAAGAACAAAGAGAACCCCTACTCTTACTCTTGGTCAAACGACTTTCAGGGTACTTAAATCTCATCGCGGGCATCGCCATCGTGTATAAATGGGAACAAAACTGTTAGAACCCTTTAGAAGACGTGACCAGCACGCCTAGGCACGACCTTTTAGAGGCAAAAACTATGGTCATATCTAAGAGAATCTCTGCGTCGAGAGCCACTATCAAGAGAAAAATCAGACTTATTTAAACAGTTACTTCTAAATCCTTGATATAATCTTTGTATAAATTTTGTACCATTTTGATCTCAGTTGATTATTTATCTTGCAAGAAGCAGCTAGTCAGTGAAGTTAACAGGTAGACTTATAGACATATGGCTCAACTCACTGTTGTGAGTTCCGTGTTACTCTTCCAAACGAGGCGGTACTACCAGATGTCCCGCACATCCTCTCGAAGACGGTACTTGTGCAAAGGGATAATCATCCAAATAATTGTGCTCAACCCATCCATGCCTTTGCACCACTGCATGATATCGTTGCTTGGATCACCATTATCGGCGCTCACAAAAGGTGCCACGAGCCTGGTTTCCATTAGGGTCTGCGTGATAAGCATAGCGTCACCTTCCTTAGTTGAGAGATACCGGTCGTATTCTCTTATCCACCCGCTAATAGTAGGTGCCTCCCAAATATCCCGCAGGCATGGAAGGGGCAGCAAACTAAGGGTGCCGCAGTTATACTGTTCATCATTTCCAAGGCCGCCAATCCCGTCGAGAAAAAGATCTATGACCACATAAACGGCCATAACTCTGCGCTATTGGTCAGAAGGCTTAGGAGACAAGAAACGTCGCGAAAAGAATCCGATGCAGTGGCATTATCCCAGGACGGGGGAAGTGAAATAACATAAAGCCTGAAACATACCTTCTGATGGATTCCCGGAATACCCATTCGTCCTGACTTGGCCGTAATTTTGAGGATTCATAATTCCAGTTTGAATTTGGCAACAGGCTGCGTAGAATGTTCTGGCAATCGAGGTTAGTCAAATTGTCTTGATTTTAAAAAGATACAATAATGTAAAGGAAGGGTAGTCTCAATAAGAGATCAATCCAACTTCGGACGTACCACTGAAGTCGCGAGTAAGTAGGCTACATCATTTGTCTCGATTGTTTCAGGATCATCTGCTTGCAGAAGAAGAAATACTGTGAGACATTGAATGGCTTCAAGCTTTCCTTGAGAGTCGCCACGATAAGCCTTCAATATGTCAGCCATTTCCCTTTAAAACTTGATTTTGAATATACTATTACCTCTTTCCGTAGCCTTCTTGCCTCCATATAAATCATATCCCAGACATATGATTTATTCGCCTTGCTATGTGTCTGAAACATCTCTACTAAACCTGCACAGATAGCAAGATTTTTGGGAAGGCATTGATGGCCTCCACGAGCTGCACACTCAGGAGCCAGTTCCTCGTTTAAATGGCAGGGAGGCTTAATGAAAGGTGGAAGCCGATCGCCTCTGGCCATCATTTTAGGAAAACTGGTCAGCTGGCCCATGACGACAGCACTGAGAACACAATCCGTGACAATTTGTCTTCTTTTGAGGCACACGCGTTTCAAGGTATGCCCTGATGGTATAAGTCGAGTATCTTGGCAACATTGAGAGGTATCTGCAACAGCGGGCGCAGGTTGTGACGCAGCCGTACTTTGAGGGCTACCGTCAGGCGGTGATTGCTTCTCACCAGCAGAAAATGGGTGGCCGAATTGCCCAGCGTCTGCGTGACCAAGGCTAGAAGTCGGGCTCGATAAACTTGTCTGGGGAAAATCAAACATTTCGGGTTCATTGACCGCGAGTTCCCAACTAAGCGAGTCCCCGGTAACAGGGCCGAAATGATCAATATACAGGTCCTGATATTGGAGAGTGGAGGAATTATTCATGATATCAGCTGAGACATGTGAAAAATCCTGTCTACTCTGCCCAATCTGCCCACTTGAAACCGCTGCCGATCTGGAGTATGGCGTCAGACGGGAGTCCCGACCATCGTAAATGCACTGCGCATCCTTCCTGGCGCATCGAGTACAGGTGGGCAAGGATCTGTCGCAACTTAGCTTGGATACTCGGCAGCGATTACAAGACTTCTTGCGAGAGAACGGCATAGTTTCCGACACTTTTGCAGAATTCGTGATGTTGATAGACTAGCATTGGATGAAGACATTACGCTTGAGGCCAGGCTGGCTGATGTCTTCGGAGTTCAAGTGGGTCTTCATGCGAACATCACCGTCTTCAGCCGATTGCTAAGCAGATCGAAATAAAGTCTCGGAGTTCAAGCGGGTCCTACTCGGACTTCGCCCTCTTGGTGAGCGGTTGGGCTAAATGCCATGCTATGTTGAAGATGGTTGATTTGTAAGGTCTCGGGCTCTTGGTAATAGTTTCGGAGATGGGTACACTATGATAGGGGAAAAAACTGGTGGTGCATACAATATAAATACTCAAGTTTGGGAGGAAGGGTGGTGTTCTTGTGCTCGACAGAAGCAATTTCCACCACATCAGATCAAGAAACACATCATATAACTATTCTTCCAAAAAGAAAATGGCGCCGATTCGGGTTGGTATCATCGGTCTAGGCCCCGTTAGCAGCCCAGGCTACAAGGCTGGAGAATGGGGCATTCAGCACATGAATGCCATATTGAAATCACCCTACTATGAGCTTGTTGCTGTGAGCAACTCTACTATCGAGTCTGCCGAGAGGTCTATCAAATCCCATAAGCTCCCACCGACAGTGAAAGCTTATGCCTCGGCCAAAGACATTGCCAGCGATCCAAATGTTGATCTGGTCGCTATTGCTGTCCGCATTTCTCACCACTACGAGCTAGTTAAAGAAGTCCTCCAGCAGAAGAAGAAGGTTTTGATCGAGTTTCCCGCAACTCCGGATGTTGCACAAACCGAGGAACTCGCTGCTATTGCCAAAAGTCACGGGATCGAAACAATTATTGGCGCCCAAGGTCGTGCTGATCCAGCTATTAGAAAGCTTAAAGAGCTGGTCGACACCAAAGCAATTGGCGACATTGTCTACAGCTCATTTTCTGGTCAACTTGTCATGGTTGTTGACGATGGATGGGCGCAATCTCAAGCAGGATTCTTAGACCTGAACGCGGGTATTAGCCGTATAAACATCGCCCTTGGACATCGTGAGATTAACCCCGCTTATCAATGTTTGCAAATTCGACATCTAACATTTCTTTATAGCAATTGATACCTTTATTCATGTTTTAGGCGGCTTTGAAGACATTCAGGCAACGTTTAAAACCAGTGTAAAAGCCACGAAGCTGTTTGATGATCAAGGCAACGTCGTGGATCCTGCGTACAAGGTCACTGCGCCGGACATGATGCTTTTGCAGGGCGTCCTTGACGGCGGGGCTGTGGCATCATTCAACCTTCGCACTGCACGATCCACCGCGGACGATGTCAGCTTCCGCTGGACTATTACTGGCACCAAAGGTGAGGTGACTTTCACTAGTGGCCCTGGATTCTTTCAAATGGGCTTCAACGGTCCGAAAATTCTCCTTAAGAATTGGGGCAGCGAGGCTCAAGAAGTCGGCTTCGATGTCAAAGAAGCAGAGTATTACGGTTCTATGAGCCCTCTGGGCTTGAACACTCTTCGGCTCTATGAGGCATATGCCAGGGGAGAGACTGGCGGATATTCCAACATCGAACAGACGTTGCGTACTGAGGAAGTTTTGGACAAAATCAAAAAGACTGCCATTTGGGCCTCATAAACTTCTAGGATGAATAGCGGTCAGTTGACAGAGGCATACACTGGTTCAATGTTGTGGAATTAACCTATCGCTCATGGGGAATATCTTACTAAGATTAGGTGAGGAGGGTTTAGAATCAAGCACATGTCATTGTCCGATTGTACCTAGTAAACAACTTAGCTTCAATCCGCAAATCCTTATTTGAGTGAGGAGAAGATCTTAATGTTGAGGGTAGGAATACCTGGTTCAAATGCTAATTTGCTGCGTGATTTTTTGATGGTCTGTATCGGACTTGGGCTTCGGTTTCTATGCGATGTTACAACCTTTAACCTAACGAAGAACGAGTAACTAAAGCTTAATGATACAGAGGGTATATCAAATAGAAATCTACAAGTATCTTGGTCTCCCAAGGCATGAGGAGATAAAATAATAAGCAATATTTACCAAAATTTACCTAATCTAGGAAGCATTTCCACTGGGGCAGGAGGAAAACCTAGGCTAGCTAAAATACTATCAATTGAGCCAACACTGAACCGTGCATATATGCACTCTCCTCACCCATCCACCATCTAACATGGAGATCTAAAAATCATTGAACACAAGGGTCTTACGGACGACTGATTTATTTTCTTCCCTTTCTTGGCCACGGGTTTCTTGCTGTTCGCGATCTTATGATTGTTTCGGATACTATGTATATGTTGATGGTCTTCTTCTCAAATTCGTATAGGGTGGGATAAATATTAACTGACTGCTCGGCCATATCTCCATTAACAAGATCAAAGATCTCACCGCAGTAAGGGCATGTGTCGCGAGCGAAGAGTCTGGGAACTTCCTCGTCTCCCAAATCACGCTCTGCAAGACCAGCCTCCTCGTAGTATCGTGCAACAATAGCATCAGCCTGGTCATTATCAATGCTTCGAAGAGCAAGGACACGGATTTACATTAAAGAGCGGGCCCCAAGACGAGCAACGCTATCGCCTTGGTAAGCTGAGACACCAGACACGGCGCTCGTAAGGCCAGTGGCAACAATTAGAGCAAGAGCTGAGAAATGCATATTGACAGCAAGTAGTAGACTCAAGTTGTAATTAGAGAAAGTGAGAGAAGAGATAAGAAGGCAGGGAATTTTGAAAAAAAAAAGAAGAAAAAAACAGACGGAAAAGATGAAATTAATTTATGGAATGATGAGAACATTGGAGAGAAACTGGGAGGAGTGTTCGTATTTATGCCTGTTTCCTGATCCGAATTGCTACTGACTATTTTACTCATTGAGATCCTATGCGCGTAAAACTCCAGCTTCGTCAGCTTTTCTTGTCCCTATGATGGCCTGCCAGTATCAACGGTCTTGTGGCGAGCTGTGCCATTGCAGGGATCGCAGATATATACCTATTGCCATTGTTTGAAGGCGAGTGATCAGTGCAGTCCAAACCACACCCTAGGCCGTTCGTTGAATAACCAATAGTATTGTATTTTTAAGCGTATCAGCTCCACCCAAATCATATACAATTAGTTTGCCAAGAGAGGTACATTGAGGTCAGCTTTACAAGACTTACTCACCGCAACAGCAGATGTGTCGGTCAGCTTCATAGCAATCGCTCGTCACACCGGAAAAAAGGCGGATCAGGCTCATCGTATTGACGGGAGACAGGTCAGCCAGGGGTCCAGAATCTCCCCCAGAGTGTCATTATCGTTTGGATGGCTTGAGCCGTATGTACCTTCAAATACATTGAGACCAACTATCGCAACTACCTGTCTGCTGGCGTCACGGTGACTATCACAATAAACGATTGCTGTGATCGCGTGACCCGTACATCAGCTATTCAGACACGTAATTGCTGTGCCACCTTGCCTCCACTGTGCCAACCATGGCTGGATTGCCCCAGCCTCCACGGCGGCGATGTCGAGGGTCGCGGAGTGCAGGGAGCGCAGCAACATGGCACCCCGGATCTCTTGCCGTCAGACGAGCGATCGCTGCGGACCTCAACCAGCTGTCGATAATTGATACTGCTTTAAGCTGTAGGATCAGGGTGCTCGCTATTAATAAAGTTATATGTGTCAACTGACGAATTTCCTCTGTTATCAGGGGCAACTGTCTACAGCTACAACGAGCAATTGCTATAGACCCAACCTTGCTGTCTTCCGTCAAGACGAGTGATTGTTACGAGCCTAATCTAGCTATCTGCTGGTATGAGAAGATCGTGATGCTGACATGCCGTCATAGGAGTAGGAAAAGCTGACGAAGCCGGGGTTTTACATGCATACGATCCAACTTGCCTGCTCGATGCAGCAGCTGTTGATCGCATTCATCAGTATTGCGGCGGATAGGGTAAGACTTGCCTGCTCGAGGCCGCTCGAGGCTGCGGCTACTGATTCTATTCATCTGGATCACGATTGATAAGATCAAGGAAGGGTCTGACTTACCTACTCGAGGCTGTGGCTGTTGATCGTATTCACGAGGGTCGGGGTGAATAGGATCAGACCTGCCTGATGTGCTTGAGGCCGCCCAGGGCTATATCTATTGTTGTATTTGCCTGGACTTCAGCAATTTGGGTCAAAGTTACTTGCTTGAGACTGCAGACCCTTCCTTGATCCCGCTGATCGCAATACTGATGAATACAATCAACAGATGCAGCCTCGAGCAGCCTTGAGCAGGTAAGTTGGATCGTATGCATGTAAAACCCCGGCCTCGTCAACTTTGCCTACCCCTATGATGGCTTACCAGCATCACGGTCTTGTAATCCTTGAGACCTGTATACCATTGTTCTGGTATCGGTGCGATCGTACTTGGCACGTATTTCTTTGAACATATCGCTGGGATTTGCTATCTGACGGCGGATGTTCTGACAAGACCCCATTGGCAGTACATGGATCGCGATATATACAGCGACATGACAGAATACATGGATCGCGACATAGCCAGCAACGTAGGAGAACCCGGGGCAATGACCCAGGCATCATTATATCCATCGCCTTCTGTGATTCCTCAATTTGCGTCTTTTCTTTGAAGATATCCACTTGTAACAGTGTTAGTGCCTGAGCTCAGCCAGTATTGTTCGGAGATACCACAATCCTTGTTGTCTCCATACCTTATTTTGAGACGAGAGAGTGCTGGGATGTAACTGACTATCCGTTTATAAATTCAGGATAGGTAGTGAACTCTAGGGGTAATCGCTAGCTAACATTGTATAAATATCAAGTTATCTTCCCTCTATTCCGTGCAATTTCTCTCATCATCCTACAATCATTCTTCACTCTCTACTTCTAAATTTCCCCTACTCTAATCCACTTAACTATTTACCCTTTTTATAACATTTACCATGCGTTTCTCTACCGTTATTACCTCGTCCATGGTCTGCTTCGCCGCGAGTGGTGTAGCCTTGGACCTTGAGAGGCGCGAGGCTTATGCTCTGGGGGAAGAGTTGGTCGCCCGAGGACAGCATCTCATCGCCCGAGGAGAGCACCTCATGGCTCGAGCACCAGGTAAGCCTGCGAAGAAGGCTGCCGCTCCTGCGAAGAAGGCTGCTGCTCCTGCGAAGAAGGCTGCTGCTCCTGCGAAGAAGGGAGCTCCTGGGAAAGGTGGCCTAAAGGGAGGCTCAGTAAGTTTCAGTTTCCACTACCTAAGGTATATATACGCGTTCTTATACTAAACTTTGAATAGATTGAGCAGAAAGGTTACTGCCAGAAAGATGGGGGTAAAGGATTCTGTGTTACACCCCAGGGATCTCCTACTTGCTCTCCTGATTCCCCAGTATGTATCCCTGATGTTTCCTGACGAACTACCTTGAACTAATGAATTATTCTCAGTGTGAACCGGATATGGGTACCTGCTATTGGAATGGTGGGGGTGTGCTGTGCTACAGGCAGCATTAATAAGCTTCTCGCTATTGCGAACAAAGGCCTCCATAATGGGCCATGCAGATCAGATTAAATGCGCATCCACCGTTGTAACGGTTGGAGCGTACTGAAGCGATGTGCTCCCAGCGCTCCAAGCAATCTATATAAACACATTCATTTCTAGATAGAATACTAGCTCGACAGCTATCAATAAATTAACACCAGTTTATACATACCACTACAAGTTTTGGACAACGCCTTCTCTTTTTCAGCTTTGCCTAACAAGCGATTACTACGGGATTGACCTAGCTGTCTGCTGTAGCAACGGGCAGCTACTATAGGCCCGGCCCAGCAATGGTTGAGCCAAGACATCGTGGAACTCATTGAGATTAATCAGAAAGAGGACCATTTGCCACGAATACGCCTCTTTTCCCAGATTGGAAAGCCTTTAGGCATAAACGAGCAGCCTGCAGCAAATTGTATCTCCGGAAGGCTCGGAGAGCGAAAATTTAGACAAATACAACTATACGATTCTGCTCACAGTGTGTGATCCAACAACAGTCTACTATGGGACGGGTCTCGCTATACGCCCGGCCTAGCAATGCAAATACTTATTCGACTGATCAACCAAGTCATTTGATAAATAGAATTCAAGCATGAGGCTACCATTTAAGACCAATTCATATCTTAGATAGCCTTGCTGTCTTCATTTGCCTTTGTGATATTGCGCCAGGTGCCAACGTCCCTCACACAATAGCGTATGCCCTCTTAATACGCATAGTACAGGGTAGCCTCGGAGTCTGACTGCCTGATCTTTCTGTTCTCTCTGACCAGCATAAACCTCATTACCCAGGCACCAAATACACACGCCAATGCCATTCCGGCGCTCGTTGCCATAGGAAGGACAAACCGGGGTTCAGTCCAGGATGGCCAAAGATACTGCATAAATTAGCATGGAATCTAAGTGAAAGGGGAAGTCAAAGCTTACCGGAGTCCAAATCAAACTCAGAGTGGCGCTCACATTGGCGATGGCGAGCGCCGAAGCCTTCTTCTCCTTTGTCTGACCGCATGTGCTGCTCACCCAGCCCAGGATGATTGAGTTCACGCCGTACGTTCCAATAGTGAAAACGCACATGGCAAAATAACGAGCACCGACGTTCATCGTAGCGCAGCCAAGAACGAACCCAAAAATTGCCACAGCCTTAGCAATGGTAATGTGCCATGTACGTTCATTGAAGTGGCCCGATGATGCTGCCCAAGCAATCGAAATGATACCCGCGATCAGGTAGGGTGGGCAAGTAAGAACAAGCGTGATAGTGGTATTGAAACCAAGTGTTTTGACAATGGTAGGGAAAAAGTTCTTGAACCCACTGTCAATGAGAAATTAGCACCACGTTGCAAAAGATAACTTGACTCTACCGAATCAAAAAAGGACTCTTACTTTGTAGCAATGTGAAGATGTTGCATGTAAACAAAGACCCACACCTTTGGATCCTTTGCAGCCTCCTTAAGGCCTTTCCAGGCTGAACCATCATTGGTCTGGCCAACCGTATCCCGGCTGACACGGTCATGGGCAAGCTGACGCTCCTCCGGTGTAAGCCACCTTGTTGTAAGGGGCTCATCCGGAAGAATATAGCAAGCAGCAAGAGCAATAAAGAAGGTTACGATACCTTGGATGATGAAAAGCCACTGCCAGCCGCTGATTCCATGCTTACCGTCAAGCTTGAATACTCCAGCAGCAATCAGGCCAGCAAATGCAGATGCAAGAATGTTTCCAGAATAAAGCACGCTGATACGTGTAGCAATCTCCTTCCTCGTGTAGAAGATAGAGAGAATATATAACGCACCTGGGTAGTAAGGCGACTCTGTCAAACCGAGAAAGAAGCGAGTAAGAATAAGGCCCGTGTAGTTTTTGGCAATGGCTGTCAGTGCACTGACCACTGCCCACCCCATCATGCAGATACCCATATACAAACTGGGCCGTATACGAGTAATGAGCATGTTACTAGGAATCTGGCCGAGAATATATCCAACAAAAAGGATAGAAACACCCGTGTTATATTGGGTCCCCTTGAGACCCAAGTCTTCTTTGAAGTTGTTCAAAACTGCGAGAGTGATGGCGTTGCGGTCCAGATAATTGAGCCAGTACATGAGCCACAAAATAGGCTGTTTTCAAGTTAGAATTTGATAACTCAAACTCAATTGGCTACGGAGTAGTCTTACCATGATCCACATGTCCAGTTTCCTCACCAACTTGAGTTCAGCTGGATCAGACTTGGCAACTGCACCAGAATAGTCTCCTCCTGGTTTTTGGAGATCATTTTGAGGGAAATCCTGATTGATGGATTCGCGCTGCTCCACGTCCGCAACGGGCTGTTTCTCGTCTTTAGAAAAGTTCATGGTAAAGATGAATGAAAGTTGTCGGAGTATTGTGAATTGGTGGGAGTGAGAAGAAAGATGGATGTGACATCGGCAGGGTAATGCATATATATATGGACCAATGTCCTCCATTTCCCCCGCAGATTTGGCTAGATTTTTACCCCATATTCTGGGCCCCTTAGAGTTCCAACAGGCGGGGTGCAGTCATCTGGTTACCCCTGGCGCTCCTGGTAGCTTCTCGGTGCTCGGCGCCGCACATCACAGCGACGGCGATGGTCCGAAAAGTAGGACATTAACGGGATCGGCATCCGATACCGAGCTCTGACTCAATTCCAGAGGCAATATGACACTCTGAATCGTCACCTTCGGACTTTGAGTCTTTGACAGAGTGAATACACAATGAACCCCTTCGTCGCCGCTCTAATACATTGGCTGAAATACAATATGTACTTGGAAATCTTTAAAATGAGCGACAGCTGAAGGAATTCAAAGTAGTAGCTAACAGGGAGAAACGCATTACCAAGAGCAAGACGGACATGAAAGGAGCGTACCAATATGGCCCAATAAATTGGACCATTCGAATTAAAACTACAATTACCACCAGTATTGGATGCTTGATAAACTCAGAGAGGTCTCAATCCTTATGGAAAAATTACGCCTTTCTGCAGAGTCAGAGTTCCCAAAGTAAAGGATTTCATGGAGCGTCACATAGAGCTGTTTGCTGGAGCATCCTTGATCATGCCCAGCCAAAGAGACCAGCTCCGCGCAACTGGCTTGCGATCATATCAGACTTCGAGATGGCGAACACGCCACCCCTCCAATTGGTTAGGTACTGGCACCAACAGCGTATCAAACGGGAGTCGTAAACTGAAGTTCCCCGAGACTGAACATCCCTCGGCTTCTAGGGTTATCTTTTCTATTTTCCGGTATGGTAAGCTCCTATTTAACAATCGCATGGGTGGAATCGTCTGTGTAGCCTGAGCAGCACGCTGCTGTCTCATGGCTAGAATCCTCCAACTCTCAGTACATGTAGTCGAGTAACACGAGGCTCCTATCGAGAGCACATTGTATGTATTGAGTAGGGAATTAACTAGGTAAATGGGGGCTTGGAGGCACAAATTGAATTACGTCCATAATTCTGGTAGACATAGCCAGCACACTGAGCTGATACATAGCTAACATAGCGGGGGAAAATGAAAGGTCTGGCTCGCGATCATATTCTTCGTATACCTGATTTTCTTTTCCTTCGAAGGTTCTCGAAGAACAAATGATGGCACAGCCTTCTGGTGCGGGCAGAGAGTTTCCATTGTGTTAGAGATGGATACTAAATCTTTTCTAGCCCAGTATTCCTGCTAAGAAACCATCCAATGTGCCACAACCAGCGCCCGAAATGCTCCTGAGAAACTCTCGTTACGCGTTCCACAACGTGCAGCCTTAAACCACCCAGGTGCAGACCAACTTCAGGTTCCACTCGCCTTCCTCCATCCGTTTCCACCTTGTCATTATCAACGACGCCAGCGAAGCATCCCATGATCCCCATACCGGAAGCCTTGCAGTAGCCAATCCCTAGCTTTTGCCAATTCAAAAATCCTGATCATCTAGCCCTGAACCCCTTCAGGTCAAGGCCTAGGTCGAAGGCAAGCAAGCATCCCGTTTCTCCGTTACCACATTACGAAGTCTCTCGACGCACTAACCGATCCCTAGTTTCTACACTCACAAATCAGATCTCCCGACCTTTGAGATCTTGAGCGAAGATCTAGAGTTCCTAATCCGAAGCCTCGAGCCAACGCCTCTGGTCCAAGAGTATGTAAGTAGCCATACCTTTGTCTTTCGTTTCCATACGATAAAGGACGCAAGCTTGCAACGCGTCCCTCTTTCCATTATCAAAAACCCAGATCAACTAGCCCTGAAGCATCTAACTGAAGCGCAGAACCCTCTACCTGAATCGCAGAATCCTCAGACTGCACTACGGAACCCGGCGCTCAACATGTCTGTCGAACTCAACGCGATCGTGGTACGCGACTTTCACGGCGCCCTAGAAAGGCCCGGAAAGCGGCAACGCCACTTTGATTCGCCTGTGCTTCTTGACGATGAAGAAGAGAATGAGAATAAAAGGCAAAAGAAAGATAAAGAAGACCACGAAGATCAGTCACATGGCCACTCAGGCTCGGAGAATATGAGTCAGGAAGAAGGTGAGGCTATGGGAGACAACCGCCACAATCCAGCATCGAACGACCGTACGGATGCAATTGAGGCGAAACTGGAGAAACTCATGCTTGGCCATGAGAAGCTCAAACTCAATATCTGCAAGGTCAATTTCGACCACGAGAAGGTCAAACTCGATATTGACAAGGTCAAGCTCGATAATGAGAAGCTCAAATTCGTTATTGACAAGGTTAATCTCAATAACGAGAAGCTCGAACGCGATATTGACAAGGCCAATCTCGACAATGAGAAGCTCAAACGCGAACTTGAGATTCTCAAACTAGACTACAAGACCTACAAAGAGGAGATAAATGTTATCCTCCAGGATTTGCTTGGCATCGTGGCGCAGCTCGTCAGAGCCACCAAGTGGCTGTTTGGCAGAGTCCGCGCGACCACGAAGCTGGCGGATGGCGCCGCGACAATCGTGAAAAGCCTTTGGAAATGGCTGCGCGGAGAGGAAGCTAAGCCGCGACCTACTCGCTTGCCTGCGGTTGTCAGTGTCGCCTCCTTTGCAAATCCCGATGCCAACCCTGAGTATTGGGTTGGGTAGGCGGCATGATCGAAAGCTCAAGCACTAAGTTCTCCCGTTCGGAACCACAGTTTTCCATCGACAAGGACCATAAGGGGTCATCATATGAAAATCAGGCATCGTCGTTCGGTATTGGGCAATGGGGAATATGAACCGGAAGCCAGAAATAATTGCTCACAAACCGTTCAAAGCCTAGATTAAGGATAATTAGATAGCCTAGAAATTAGAAGTCCCGTCTAGCTGGAATGAGAATCACTCTGCGCTTGTCCCTGTTAACGCAAGCATTTTGTGCGGGCTCGGTGTCCGACGCCGAGCCCTGACTGAATGCCCTGACAGTACAATCCAACACCCCGGGCTGGTAATTTCAGGCTTTGGGTCTTTGAATTTGATAAATCTTGGCATCCTCGGTTATCACTTGAGCGAATACGGCGTGGTGTGAGAGACTTCGCCCTTCATAAGTATTTGAGTACACACATACCAACAGGGGGTCCAGTTCTTGCGGCATCTCATTCGTCATACTTCTTCTCCTTGATCCGGTACCCTCACGAGCAAGTATTGGCGATGTTGCAAAAGGCCCCCATCAGGATCGGAAATGTATCTGGCGCCACCGGCGACCACCCTCATGCGATGCTTCGCATGGTCCGGTCAGGCAATGTGGATGTCATCACGGGCGACTGGCTCTCGGAAATGAACATTGCCTGGAACGCCATCACCAAGCAAGAAGTCGATCCCAACCTGGGCTACGAGAATGGCTTCTTTGAGCAGCTGGAGGAGTCCCTTGATGGCATAATGGAGAGAAATATTAGAGTCGTCACAAACGCCGGAGCGCTCAATACGCAGATGCTGTACCAGAAAGTGCAGAAGCTTTGCCAAGATCGAGGCTATGGCGACTCCGTGGTGGCAGCTGTGCTTGGGGATGATGTGTCCGATATCGTTATGGCGGACGGCGGCAAAGCTCTGCCTATCTCACATCTAGATCATCCCGATCAAAGTCTTTCTGACTGGGGGTTTTCTCCCTGTTGCGCTACAGCTTACATCGGCTGTTGGGGTATTGTTGAGGCACTCCGCGCTGGTGCTCAAATCGTCATATGCGGACGCTGCACGGACGCCTCGCCAGTAATGGGTGCCGCGGCATGGTATCACGGTTGGAAAGAGGATCAGTATGAAGAGCTTGCAGGCTCGTTACTCGCCGCCCATCTGATAGAGTGCGGCCCGTACGTTGTGGGAGCAAACTTCTCGGGCTTCAAGGAATTCCTTCCAGACCTCGTCGACTTGGCTTTCCCCATTGCGGAGATCGATGGCACGGGTCGATGCAAGATCAGCAGGACAGAGGAAGGAGGAGGCCATGTGACGAGAAATACAGTCATTGCACAGCTTCTGTATGAGCTTCAAGGCCACCTCTATTTAAACCCTGATGTCGTAGCGGACCTTTCGGGCGTTTTCGTCGAGACCGTGGCAGAAAACTGCATCTCTGTCGCTGGTGTCCGAGGTCTTCCACCTCCTTCGACTACAAAGGTCATGATAGCGGCCAAAGGGGGGTTCCAGGCAGAGGCTACTTTCTACATCAATGGACTGGATGTGCAAGAAAAAGCAGAAATGATGCGTAGGCAGCTTGAAAATGCTTACAAGAGCAGCAACTTTAGCCGCCTCAGCATTGAGCTGTACGGCACTCCAGCATCCAACCCACAGTCACAGCAAGAAGGTACCGTCTTCTTGCGAGTTTTCGCCCAGGCCCGAAAGCTCGAGGATATTTCAGTTCACAAATTCAAGATACCCATTTACGCATTGAGAATGCAGAGTTACCCTGGCTATCACATGAATCTAGATTTCAGAACCATGGAGCCCAAACCATTCATGGAAATGTTCCCTGCCCTGATGCCTATCTCGGCCATCGACCATCGCGTCGAGATGAGCAACGGAAATACTTGCAAGATCAATCCTCCGAGCCGTACACAGACGTACCCCGTAATACGTCCTTCTTCCGACGCATCAGAACCAGCCGACCTTCTAAGCTTTGGGCCTACGAAATTCACCGCTCTGGGGACCATTGTCCATGGCCGATCCGGCGACAAGGGAGACAACTCAAACGTTGGCTTTTTCGTGCGCAATGAGGATGAGTACGAGTGGCTCCGCTCTCTACTTTCGGTGGCCACGTTCAAGAAGCTGTTAGGGAATGATTGGTTCAAGGGGAATACAGATCGGCGAGTTGAGCGAGTGGAATTCCCTGGCATCCTGGCCGTTCACTTGTAAGTTTAAACCCTGCGAAGTCATTTTACCATACTAACACAGTAACAGCCGTGTACTCGACAACCTGAACGGTGGCATTGCTTCGTCAGATCGTGTGGATGGGCTAGGTAAAGGCGTAGCCGAGTACCTCCGGTCTAAATATGTCGATATTCCCCTCGTATTTCTTGAACGAGGAAGCATCTAAATAAGAATTGTACAGTCATAGAACGAATAGAAAAGCGCGGGCACAGATTCGGATTGTCTATTAAGCCTCATCTCTCGATATGCGCTGTCTCCATGCCCGTGGGCAGAAAATTATCCCCAAGTCCTAGAAACCATTCCTGCGACAGCTGTGAGAGGGCATCATTATGATATTCGTCGAGAGCCATGTCTCGCAAATCACCAAAGCAATCCCTGAACGTGTCATCAACTTGAATATGCGCATATTGCGTGCTGGTATCTACATCGTAGTAGTTTCCTGGCAGCTGCAAGGAAGGGCTGGTAGTCTCTGTTGTCGCACTCCTGACCAGCGAGGTGGAATCGTCCGTCTCTACATGTTGTGCGGTGGGAGGGGGCATCCGAGATGTCTCGAAGATGTCAGATAACACGGCATCACTCAATTTATCGAAAAGGTCGGAGCAGTCCTTGGCAGCATCCCATCGCTCGGCAACGGCTACCAGGACCTTGGAGCATGACCGAGTGTCATTCACCACCTGGCTGCTCGTTGGATTTGGAGTGAGTCGAGCGCCTGGCCTACTTTGCATCACCGAAGACTGTATTGCTTGTAAATGATTTCGTAAGGCGTAAATGTAAGACAACCCAGCGTTGAATACTGAATGCATCGTGATCCATGAGTAGTTCAACTTCTTCGACCTATGCAGACTCGCATAAAGATGAATTGCTTCACGGGAGGAATCAAATATCCGCTGCAGACTAAGACTGTTCGTAGAGGCATCGCAGATGCAAGGTGAAGGTCGATAGAGCATCAATATCGCATTGTGATATAGCAAGCTGTACCATTCACTCGATTTGAAACTGGATGTTTTGAAAAAGGTACTGTTCCCCCTGGCATCCAGCTCCGCCAGCGGGAGTTGGGCGGCATCGGCATTCCAGGTGTCCAGCTCTTCGTTCAAATTCTGCCGGACGTGCTCGAAGCTAGCATTATTCAGTTGGGCTCTTTTAGGGCTCCGATAGAGCGCATTGAGTATTTTGCCACAGATGAGACGGTATTTCACTATATGGATGAAGATTGCAGTGCTCTCCAGATGACCAGGAGTATCGAGAGGCGAGGCCGGAGTTGGATAATTCTGAAGTAGCCCGGAGTTCGAGATATCGGGCAAATCCACGTCAATGTCTTCGAGCTGGATAGCAAGAGGTCTTCCCAGAGCGATGCTCGCCACCCTATCCAATGCGACAAGGCTCCAGAAGCACCTTTGTTTCATTACCATGAACTCTGCCTGTTGAGCACTTTCAGGCTGCGCGTATGTCATTGCGCGGTGCAAACCCATCTCTGAACACATCCGAGCAGCCACCCCAATGAGATGCCAAACACTCGCAGTGGTATTTCTAGACGTGGAACCCATGCGGTACTGGCAAACAAAGAGTAATGCTTGGAGACGCACAATTCCCCCTTGTGCCATGACGTCTCCGAGCTTCATCATGGCACGATTATAATGTATCTCGGCATCATACACCCCGCTCCAATTGTATTTGTGGACTTGAGCCGTACCAATCGCGAGGACAATGTCCACAATAAATTCGTCGGATGCCGTACTTTGAGCCGTAGGGCCGTACACAGTGTCGAAAGACTGCTGCAGCTTCTCGAGCGAGGAAAACGGGTAACAGAGATAATCATGGTTGCAGTATGCCTGGATTAGGTTTCGTGCAAGATTCTTTGGTGGTCGCGCTGGCAATGCCTCCGGTGACTGTATGCCTTGTGATGGATTAGTGTTCCAGTTCGGCCTGGGTTGCGCTGCAGAACCAGGCTCTTGACAGGTTTGAAGCAAGTTTGCGAGGAGGATCCCGCTAGCTGAGCCGACAAAGTGATCACTCCCTCCAGCTATGAGAGACAGGTGCATCACCTGCTCTGTCACTGCCCCATTACCCGATCCAAGAGTAGGTGTGGCTTGCAATGGTTCGAGGGGCGTGCTGTGTTCCTGAATAGGGGTCACTGAGGGAGGGTCTTCACGGCATGATGCACCATTTTGCCGCAGCTTCGAGGATAGAGACGCGTTCTCTTGCTCCAGATGCTGAATCCGCCGCTCCAGCTTTTGTATATTTCGCCGTCGGATCTGATGTTCGCTCGTCGAATATTCACAGGCAACATTAGCCCGTACACAGGGGGTACATTTTGGAGCTGCCTTGTCACATCGTACTTTTCGCCGGTGGCATCGTTCGCATGCCGAAGAATGCATAATAATCAATCCACAATGTGCCCCCCAGACTGTTTCATGCAGCCTGTGCCAAGTATGTCGTTTTCGACAGATAATGAACGCACGTCGGTCTCGGAGACCGGCGCCGTCGCCGTCTTATGAATTTCCCCTGGGGTAACTCCACGTTCTGGAGCGGATAAACATTTTTTCTAGCGGGGAAGCGGTATAAACAAGCTTACTATTGATGTCTCCCTAGGCCAAAGTAGGCAGGTGAAAACGCCATCACTGAACACGAGTCAAGTCAATGGTCCACTCCCGCAATGTGCATTTGAAATCACAACCAAAGCTTTCCGGCAGCCCTTGTTATCATCCACGGATTTACTCTGTCGGCCGTTTTGACTAGGCATACGCCCAGGTTTAGTT